ACGGGTCAACGTGGAACGTAACGGCTCCCGAGGCGACGGTGGGCACATGAGCCCGCCGCGCAGCGGAGTTCAGGATGGGCGACATGACTGGGAGCAGCAAAGGAGCAAGGAGCAACAGGGGAGGCGGAGGAGGCCAGCGTCACGTCGCATAGCAACAGCAGGGGTCAGTGGCCGAACGGAAAAGGGCAACGGCCGCACGGATGGCCACCTGCCAGCAGGAAAAAGGAGTAACGGCAGCCCGCCAACGGGAAAGTGGCGTGATCTTGGAAACAGGAGTAACGGCAGCTCGCCAACGGGAAAGTGGCGAGATTCTGGAAGCAGGATTAACGGCAGGAGCAGAGTCCAGGAGGATTAACGGGCGCTCCAGTCAGTATAAAAGGAGGCCCACTGGAGCGGCTCGAGACGAGTCTTTTTAGGAAGCTTGTAGCGTTGAGTTGGGGACCGCCTTTGGAGAGTCCGCCAATCAAGTGTTAGAGCGTTTCTAAAAGGATTCGGTTGTTTGAGTTGAAGGACCGCCTTTGGAGAGTCCAACAGCCAAACGTAAGGAGAACGAACGAGACAAGGAAAGAACGGTACGAGGACAGTTACGGGGAACGACCTAGGCGACAGGAGACGAGTTGGACCAGTTCCTGGCCACGGCAGGTAGCCTTGCTAGGAAGTGCAGAAAGGATAAGTCTGGCGTACGCCATTCGGACTCCTGACTCACAACCAACAGGCGTGGTCCTGCACCGGAAAGGACAGGCCGACTCAAGATCCCGAGCCCGGTTTCGCTCCGGAGGACGAGAAGGACAGGACGAGAGAGGATCGGCGTCGGTTGGTTTCCTCGAAAGCTACAGGGTAACAGAGTCGAGCGTGGGCTATTCCAAGTCAAAGCAGGTAGCCTTGCAAGGAAGTGAGGAAAGAACAAGTCTGGCGTACGCCACGCGGGTTCTTGACTCGCAACCAACAGGCGTGGTCCTGCAGGACGCGGATAAGCCAACTCGGGAACTCACGCCCGCTTTGGAACGCGATCGGGGAGGCCCCGATCACCCACCAAGCAGCTCTTGACCCGGGCCCATTGCCGCGTACGCGCGGTGGTCACCCGGCCGAAAGAGTGACGTACGGTCCTGGACAGGCGACTGACAAGACTTCGGCAACTCCCAATCCAGGCCCGCCGGTGCGAAAAGGCACGGCGTCTCCTGGCGTAGCGGAGCCGGCTGTAGACAGCAATCTCTGAACCAGGGCCGCTGGTGCGCATGCACAGCGGGTTGCGGGGACGACCACCAGTAGCCATCTCCCAAACCAGACTCGCCGGTGCGAAAAGCACGGCGTGCTCCTGGCGTAGCGGAGCCTACAGGCCGCACACCCCGAACCAGGTCCGCCGGTGCGCATGCACGGCGCATCTCCCTGGTGGTGCAGAGGCGACAGTCAGTAGCTATCTCCCGAACCAGCGTCGCCGGTGCGCAGAGCACGGCGTTCATCCTGGTGTAGCGGAGGCTACAGCCCGCCAACTCCCGAGCCCCGGCGGTACGGCGCGTATGCGCGTATCCCCGACGGCTTAGTGGAGGCTTTTCAGTTCATAGCCGAAGGCCAGACCGAACCGAAGGGGTGGAAGGTGACGACGGATCAACGAGGAGGAGCCCCGGCAACGAGAGCAACAGCGGAAACACCAGCAACGGAGGAGATATCCAGGACGGACACACCAAGGGTCACCAAGGACACACCAAGGGTCATTCCCGGGAACCCGCATGAATCACAGTTGTAAACAGAGAGAGCAGAAAATAAAGAGACTACGCAACGGAAAGCTACTTGTATTATTTTCTGGGCTTGGGCAATCACGTCGAATCTATAAATTCGGTGGAACGGATCCGCGAAACTCTGTGAGCTAGCCGCGGCAAATTGTGGCGAGCGGAAGCAGAAATAACAGTTCGTTACACCTGGCGCCCAACGTGGGCGCCTTTCCTTTTTTACCCAAAAGGAAAAGATGGGCCGGCTGCCTGGAGGATAGACTGTCCGTAGCGGTAGCCGGATGCCCGGAAAAATGGGAAGAGGAACGGGTCAGAAGATTCATCGATAGAGAACTGGAGGCGTTCGCAGGCCAGAAGGGTTGTTCGAACATAACACAGCACAGGATCACGATGAAGGACGACATTCCCATAAAACAACGGTATTGCCCCAAAAATCCAAAAATTCAGGGGGAGATAAACTCAAAGGTGGAGGAATTGCTGGAGAAGGGATGCATCGAGCCCTCAAATAGCGCGTACAGTTCACCCATCGTAATGGTGAAGAAGAAAACGGGGCAATGGAGGATGTGCGTGGATTTCCGACAAATTAATGCGAAATCAATAAAAGATGCGTACCCGATGCCTCGCATAAATTTCATTTTGGAGCAGCTGAGAGAAGCAAGGTTCTTCAGCAGTCTCGATTTGAAGGATGGGTACTGGCAGATCCCCCTAGAGGAAAGCAGCAGGAAATTCACCGCTTTCACCGTTCCAGGGAAGGGTCTATACCAATGGAAAGTCATGCCTTTTGGGCTGCACTCAGCCTCGGCAACGTTTCAAAGGGCCCTGGACCAGGTCATAGGCCCGGATATGGCTCCACACGCATTCGCGTATCAGGATGACATTATAGTGATCGGACGCACCAAGGAGGAGCATATGCGGAATCTACAAGAGGTGTTCAGAAAGTTGAGAGCGGCAAACCTGCGGATAAATACGGAAAAGTGCCATTTCTTCAGGCAGGAGCTGCTCTACCTGGGCCACCGGATAACAAGCCAAGGGATCGGAATGGATCCGGGAAAGGTGGCCGCGATTACAGAGCTACAACCCCCGACGAACGTCAAGGGAGTGCGCCAGTTCATAGGGATGGCATCGTGGTATCGGCGTTTCGTCCCAGACTTCGCAGGAATAGCGAAGCCCCTGAACGATCTTCTGCGAAAAGGAACAAAATGGGAGTGGACAACCAAACACCAAGAGGCCTTTGAGACTTTAAAGTCACGGCTGGCAGAGGATCCAGTGCTAGCGTGCCCAGACTTCGAAAGAAAATTCGTGCTGCAAACGGACGCCAGCGACTACGGCGTCGGGGCGGTCCTGACCCAGGACACCGAGGAGGGCGAACGCGTGATCGCGTACGCCAGTCGAACGTTGATTGGGGCCGAGAAAAATTACTCCGCAACGGAAAAGGAGTGCCTGGCCATAGTATGGGCGATAAGGCAAATGAGGCCCTACCTGGAGGGGTACCAGTTCGACGTGATCACGGACCACATGGCGTTGAAGTGGCTGAATAACATCGAGAGCCCACTCGGCAGAATAGCGAGGTGGGTATTCGAACTACAGCAGTATGACTACGTCATCAGTTACCGGAAAGGAAAGCTCAATGTGGTGGCCGACGCTCTGTCCCGCCAGCCGGTAATGGAAAAATTTAGGAAAGCCATGGAGGTGGTCGCCGAACAAGGCGGGTGGATAAGCGCATTGAGGAAAAAGATGACAACAAGCCCACAAAAATTCCCGGATTACGTGGAAGAGGGCGGGTTGATCTACCGCCACGTCCCGCATAGAGCCGGAAGCGAGGAAGTGGCGTCATGGAAGCTGTGCGTGCCGCTGGAGATGAGGCAGCAGGTCCTCAATGAAAATCATGACGCACCAACGGCGGGACATTTGGGCGTAAGGAAAACCATAGCCAGAGTGGCCGCCCGGTATTTCTGGCCAGGGATGCAGAGGGACATCCGGAAATACGTCAGGAAGTGCGAGACGTGCCTGAAGTACAAGCCGAATCAGATGCAGATGGCCGGGCAAATGCTGACACAGGTTCCGGAGGAGCCATGGGCGACGGTATGTGCAGATTTCGTAGGCCCACTGCCCACCTGGGCACGGCAATACGATGATCCTGGTGATAATCGATCGGTTTTCGAAATGGACGGAGATAGTGCCTCTTCGAAAAGCAACAACAGAGGCGCTGCAGAAGGCATTCAGGGAGAGAATCGTCGCTCGATATGGAGTACCAAAAATAATAATAACGGACAACGGGGTGCAGTTCACCAGTCGCAGCTTCAAGAAATTCCTCGGAGAACTCGGCGTACGCCATCAGTTCACCGCGCCATATACGCCGCAGGAGAACCCCACGGAAAGAGCGAACAGGACGGTAAAAACAATGATCGCCCAGTTCGCTGGGAAAGAGCAAAGGAAGTGGGACGAACACTGGCCAGAGCTAATGTTGGCGGTAAATTCCGCAATCTCGGAGTCCACGGGGTACTCGCCGTGTTTTATAACGCAGGGCAGGGAGCCAAGGATGCCGCGAGCCCTGTTCGACGAGAATGTGTTGGGCACGGGAGCCGAGCAAGGAACACCCATGGAAAACGCGGCGAGACTCAAGGAGACATTCGAGATAGTAAGAAGGAATATGGAGCGAGCTGCCCAGGACCAGGCGCGACATTACAACTTGAGACGGCGGAAGTGGAGCCCAAAGGTCGGTGAAACAGTGTGGGCAAAGGAGCACCACCTATCAAAGGCGGCTGAAGGATTCGCGGCGAAACTGGCCCCTCGGTACGACGGGCCATATACGGTGGTGGATTTCGTTTCTCCAGTAATTGTCACGTTACGACACGGCAGAACAAGGAGGGAGAAGAGAGCTCATGTGAGCGAGCTAAAGGCTCAAGACACGGAAGAAACAGCAAAGGGATAACGAAAGCGGACAAATACATTGTGTCCGCATAACGGGCACACAAAAAAAAAGGAAAACAACAACAACAAAAACCCCGCAAAGAGGAGGAGAGCAAGCAACGGGAGCATTAGCGGGACATTTCCAGCAACGGGAAATGAATGCGCTATATAAGTGGAGACGTGGGAGATGGTCGGCCTATTCGAAATCAACACGCAGCCGCAAGCATCATCAAGCATGTCATCAAGCGCATCAATAGTTGTTTCGTCCGACGACAGCGACATTGAAATAGTCGGCGATCCTTCGTGGAACGCCAAGAAGGCAAGATCGGAGTGGATGGTCCGGCGGGCAGCAGGAAGAGGAGGATGCATCCCGGTCGGGTCTTTCGAGGTGGAGCGGCGGCGCAGGAGCGAGGAGCTGGTCCTGCGCCTGCGAGCGGAGTGGGACAATCGGCGGCTGTCCCTGATGGAGGCGACGGAGAACATGGCGAGGGCCCGCGTCAAAGTGATTGCCCAAATGCGAAGGAGGAACGCGAAGGAGGCCAGGCAGCGGCGCATCGACGGACGCCAGAGGGCCATGGTCAGGGCGAGGGCGAAAACGGCACGGCAGCGGCGGATCCGGAAGATAGTGGAGACTGCGAAGAGAAGGGCCGCCGCCGGAAGGGTGCAACAGGCCAGAAAATGGAAGAGGAAGATACCGCCGACGCCACGCCCCAGACCGGAGAGGCCGGAGGAGAAGCCGTGCAGGGCGACCTCGAGCTGGAGGAGGGTCCGGGCGTCGACGCCGTGGCCCGCGGTGCCCCCGACACCGTGTCCACGGGAGAAAAAGGAGGAGCAGCCGTTGGAGAAGGGGCCGTGGGTGTGGCCGGAGCCGCGGAGGCCTGCGCTGGGCCGGCAGACATCTTGCCCAGAGAAGCGGCCGGCAAGGCCGGTGCTGGAGCGGCAGGCATCGGTCGGAGGCGGGCGAGATGTGCCGGAAGACAATTGGCCGCCGGAGCTTGCCGCAAGGGTGAAGGCGGAGATGACCAAGCGGCGAGGCAAACCCGGAAGATGGTGCATCTTGGTACAGGTTGGAGCCACGTGCTTCCGGGTGCGAGGAGGCGGTAGAGGAGTAAGGGTGGTGAGGAGAAGTTGAATGAAAAAAATGGAAGTTAAAAAAAAAAAAAAAAAAAAAAAAAAAATAAAATAATAAATAAATAATAAAAAAAAAATAAAATATATCGGATTTAAAAAAAAAAGGGGGGGACAAAAGTTAGTTAGTAAAAATAAATAAAAAAAAAAAAAAAAAAAAAAATAATAATAATAATAATAAATATAGGGTAGGAATAAAGGGTTTTAAGAGGGGAAAAAAAATAATAAAAAAAAAAAAAAAAAAAAAATTTAATTTAACAAAAAAGAAAAAAATAAATTCTAAAAAAAAAAAAAAAAAATAATAATAATAAATATAGGGTAGGAATAAAGGGTTTTAAGGAAAAAAAAAAGAGTAATAATAGGGTTAGCATAGTTAGTATTTGGAAAAAAAATGAATAATAGGCTTAGCATAGTTATTATTAAAAAAAAACAAAAAAAAGAAGAAAACAAAAAAAAAAGGGGGAAAAGGGGAAAAAAAAAAAACCAAAAACGACCGAACAACGCCAGCGATAGGGGGAAGCCATCGGCCGTCTTCCGAAGGAGGGGGAAGTGGATGGGCATCCACACCACACAAGTGGATGGGCATCCACACCAAAGAGAAGAGCGATCAGGCACAGTTTTTTTTCGGTGAGCTGAGAGTGGCGAAGTTTTCGTTACATTGGCAAGTGTCTCTGTCGTTCCCGAAGAAGGGGGGAAGTGTGAGGAGAATTCGCCTCCTCACACGCTAAGACAGCAATAGCCAATCAGTTTAGGGGGCCGCGGGAGATAGGCTGATGACCAATACGAACGGGGAGGGGTAGGGTTCACCATCAAGGGCGAAGACAGAATCGAGGTGGAACGTAACGGTTCCCGGAGCAGCAGTAGACGAATGGAAGGACAGGGTTACAGCGCCCAGTGGGAAGACGGAATCAACGTGGAACGTAACGGTTCCCGGAACACCAGCATACAAATGGAAATGCAAGGTTACATCGTCCAGTGGGAAGACGGAATCAACGTGGAACGTAACGGTTCCCGGAGCCCCAGCAGACAAATGGAAATGCAAGGTTACATCGCCCAGTGGGAAGACGGAATCAACGTGGAACGTAACGGTCCCCGGAGCACCAGTGGACGAATGGGAAGGCAGAGAGGGCAGTGAGAGGCAGAGCTCCATCATCGAGTGGAAGACGGGTCAACGTGGAACGTAACGGCTCCCGAGGCGACGGTGGGCACATGAGCCCGCCGCGCAGCGGAGTTCAGGATGGGCGACATGACTGGGAGCAGCAAAGGAGCAAGGAGCAACAGGGGAGGCGGAGGAGGCCAGCGTCACGTCGCATAGCAACAGCAGGGGTCAGTGGCCGAACGGAAAAGGGCAACGGCCGCACGGATGGCCACCTGCCAGCAGGAAAAAGGAGTAACGGCAGCCCGCCAACGGGAAAGTGGCGTGATCTTGGAAACAGGAGTAACGGCAGCTCGCCAACGGGAAAGTGGCGAGATTCTGGAAGCAGGATTAACGGCAGGAGCAGAGTCCAGGAGGATTAACGGGCGCTCCAGTCAGTATAAAAGGAGGCCCACTGGAGCGGCTCGGGACGAATCTTTTTAGGAAGCTTGTAGCGTTGAGTTGGGGACCGCCTTTGGAGAGTCCGCCAATCAAGTGTTAGAGCGTTTCTAAAAAGGATTCGGTTGTTTGAGTTGAAGGACCGCCTTTGGAGAGTCCAACAGCCAAACGTAAGGAGAACGAACGAGACAAGGAAAGAACGGTACGAGGACAGTTACGGGGAACGACCTAGGCGACAGGAGACGAGTTGGACCAGTTCCTGGCCACGGCAGGTAGCCTTGCTAGGAAGTGCAGAAAGGATAAGTCTGGCGTACGCCATTCGGACTCCTGACTCACAACCAACAGGCGTGGTCCTGCACCGGAAAGGACAGGCCGACTCAAGATCCCGAGCCCGGTTTCGCTCCGGAGGACGAGAAGGACAGGACGAGAGAGGATCGGCGTCGGTTGGTTTCCTCGAAAGCTACAGGGTAACAGAGTCGAGCGTGGGCTATTCCAAGTCAAAGCAGGTAGCCTTGCAAGGAAGTGAGGAAAGAACAAGTCTGGCGTACGCCACGCGGGTTCTTGACTCGCAACCAACAGGCGTGGTCCTGCAGGACGCGGATAAGCCAACTCGGGAACTCACGCCCGCTTTGGAACGCGATCGGGGAGGCCCCGATCACCCACCAAGCAGCTCTTGACCCGGGCCCATTTCCGCGTACGCGCGGTGGTCACCCGGCCGAAAGAGTGACGTACGGTCCTGGACAGGCGACTGACAAGACTTCGGCAACTCCCAATCCAGGCCCGCCGGTGCGAAAAGGCACGGCGTCTCCTGGCGTAGCGGAGCCGGCTGTAGACAGCAATCTCTGAACCAGGGCCGCTGGTGCGCATGCACAGCGGGTTGCGGGGACGACCACCAGTAGCCATCTCCCAAACCAGACTCGCCGGTGCGAAAAGAACGGCGTGCTCCTGGCGTAGCGGAGCCTACAGGCCGCACACCCCGAACCAGGTCCGCCGGTGCGCATGCACGGCGCATCTCCCTGGTGGTGCAGAGGCGACAGTCAGTAGCTATCTCCCGAACCAGCGTCGCCGGTGCGCAGAGCACGGCGTTCATCCTGGTGTAGCGGAGGCTACAGCCCGCCAACTCCCGAGCCCCGGCGGTACGGCGCGTATGCGCGTATCCCCGACGGCTTAGTGGAGGCTTTTCAGTTCATAGCCGAAGGCCAGACCGAACCGAAGGGGTGGAAGGTGACGACGGATCAACGAGGAGGAGCCCCGGCAACGAGAGCAACAGCGGAAACACCAGCAACGGAGGAGATATCCAGGACGGACACACCAAGGGTCACCAAGGACACACCAAGGGTCATTCCCGGGAACCCGCATGAATCACAGTTGTAAACAGAGAGAGCAGAAAATAAAGAGACTACGCAACGGAAAGCTACTTGTATTATTTTCTGGGCTTGGGCAATCACGTCGAATCTATAAATTCGGTGGAACGGATCCGCGAAACTCTGTGAGCTAGCCGCGGCAAATTGTGGCGAGCGGAAGCAGAAATAACAGTTCGTTACACTATCTTCTAGACCTACAGTACATTTTTCTGCTCCGTGACCGGGCTTTAAGAGCTTGGACCTAAGTTGTGCGGTACGGCCGTGAAGCAATGCCTCGCACAACTCTGGCGCCCTACTCCTCCCGCCCGTTGCGTGCCCTCTCAAGGGCTCTCAGCTCCATCATTGTCTTGGCCATAAAAACGGCAATGGCTTCCCATTTTTCCGGCTTCTGTCCTCAACCGGCAGCAGTCCTCACTTTCGTGACCAAAGCGCTTTAGGTAGCTTCGAAAGCACTCATGCCCACTAAGGGCCTGCGTGAGGTAAAAGTCTACCTAACCAGGCTTTCTTCCGTCCAGCGTCCCTTGGATGATCCCCCCATCGACGTTGCTAGTTTGTCAAACTTGTGGCTCTCACTTCCTGCTGTTTGACCGACGCCGAAGAAAGGCTGTCCTGAGCCATGTTGGCCTGCTCCTTCCTTTTTCGGACCAGCTCTTGGATGGGTATCAGCCCTGCGACCACGAGAGCCGCGTCGTCCGACACCGTCCTAAAGACGCAGGAGCAGAGGCGGTGGTTTGCTTCGATTCCGCGTGCGTAGGACCTTACTCCCATCGCCTCGGCTCACACTGGGGCAGCGTACAACATTTGAGAGCTCACCACGTCTTTCCTGCCTCGGGCCTCAGATGTTGAAGAGCATCCGCGAGAGCGCCCTCGTCGTCCCAATCGCCCTCCTGTGGGCGTACTCAAGGTGCTCCCGGAACGAGAGCCTCGTATCCAGCAAAACCCCGAGGTATTTTATTACTCTCCTTGAGGTAACGACCACTCCTCCTACGTGTACCGTCGCTGTTTCGACCTTCTTCCGGCTCGAAATCTGGCTTCCATCTTTTATGGGGCGAGGTGAAGCCCGGCGCTAGTCATCCATGCCTCCACTTTCGCCACCGTGGAGTTTGTTAGGGTTTCCACCCCGCGAACAGTCTTCGCCACCACCACTAGGGCTATATCGTCGGCGAATCCTACGATTGTAGTACCCTCCTCCATAGGTAATCGGAGGACTCCATCGTACAAAGTGTTCCACAGGAGCGGCCCCAGCCTTGCGGCACTGCAGCGGAGACCCCTCGTTTCTTCTGCCCTTCCCGCGTGTCATACAAGAGTACTCTGTCGCTCAGGTAGCTGTCCACCATCTTCAGCAGGCATGCCGGGATCCGTAGCTCCTTCAGAGCTTGGAGAGTCCGCGACCAGTTCTCCGTGTTGAAGACATTCTTCACGTCCAGGGTGGTAACTAGACAATATTGTTTGGCTCCCCCATCCCATCTGGTGCCTTGGATGGCGCTTGCTGCCAGGTTCTTCTGCCAGGTTCCCGGAGCTTTGTTAGGGGGTAGATTTCGAGTGGCCGCTAGCACCTCCTCTGCTGTGACCGCTTCCACCGACTCGTCGTCGAAATCCTCAATAGCCGGGCGGGTTCCCTCCGCTCGACTGCTTGGAAACAGGACGTCTATTATGGCCCTCAGTGCTACCGGGTCGGAGGGGGGATGGCTCCCCGCCCTGACCTTTTTTGATACTATTCTGTACGCCTGTCCCCATGGGTCGTGTTCTGCTTCATCGCATAGCTTGAGGAACATCTCTCGCTTACTGTCCCGTATAGCCGTTTTCAGCGCTTTCCTCGCTGCCTTGAACTCAAGGTGTCTTTGCACCTGCGCGTCAGTGCCTCGAGCTCGCTGCAGGGATCTTCTAGCCTTAAGGCACTCATTGCGAAGAGACGAGGTTTGGCTTGTCCACCACGGAGCCGCTTTGTGATGCCGAGCAAAGGTCGTGGGCGCCTTCATGCTTGCCTTGCAGGCGCAGATTCGTTAGCTGTAGCGTGGAGATCAAGCTGTGCCCTCTGCACATGGGTTTCCAATTGTTGGACGTCTAGCAGGTCTTGC